CTATCTCAAAATAAGTCATCTTACATATACTGTATACTATCTTACTGACATTCTGTTTTGGGGGAACTATCAGAAGTGTGTGTGTGTGTGTGGAGGAGCTCAGCTGGTATATGTTGCAGGTGGTGATCGTGCTGCTGAGCGTCTCCCTGGTGCTGGCTGTGGCTTCGGCCCAACTGGAGGAGAAGAAGCCGGTGGAGGCGAAGGTGGAGGCGATGGTGGAGGCGAAGGCGGAGACTAAGGCTGAGACGAAGGTGGAGGCAAAGGTGCAGGCCTCGGAGGATGAGGACCTGGTCGGGGAGGAGTCACAAGTGGTGGTAGCTACACAGAAGCCAGCAGAAAGTCGACAGGTAGAATCCCGGGTGACGGAGGGACAGCTGTCTTCTGGCCCCGACGATGCCGACATCAGCTTCCATCTGGACTCTCGTGGGGGCGTGGCTACCTTCCAGGGGGCGTTACCCAGGGAGGAGTTGTTAGAGACCCATGATCAACTCACCGCCGCCTTCGACAACGCTGCCGATGAAGCTCGCCAGGCGCACACTGCTACCGGCGTGGAGACCAGCGTGGTGAGTACTGTCGCAGACGCTATCCTTACTTGTGATTGTATATACGAAAACACCTCTATGTAACCCTCCTCCTCCTACTCCCTCGTTCATCACTTCCTCCAAAAATTATAACTTCCATTGTGCCTCAGTATTCTCTCTCACTTATGTCTCTCTCACACACATTGTCTCTCCACACAGTTATCTCCCTATCTCTCACACACACCTTGTCTCTCCACACAGTACTCCTACACACCATACCACTGGGCCTATGAGGTGAGGGCGCCGTCGACAGGTGACCACAAGAGCCAGGTGGAGCACAGGGAGGTGGACGGTGTGGTGAGAGGCAGGTACTCTGTGGTCGAGCCCGATGGTTCCCTCAGAATCGTCAGCTACATGGCCCACCCCGACGACGGCTTCAAGGCTACAGTCCAAACACAACCCAACTTCCAGCAACCCATCCAGGTGCAGGTGTACAGCGGCGACCAGTCCCAACAGCAGCAGAGGTTCAGTAGTTTGAAGCAGCAGGGACAACAGCAGCAGAGGTTTAGCAGCAACCTGGAACAGCAAGAGCAGAGGTTCGGAAATCAACAACAGAGATTCAGCAGTCTGGACCAGCAACAGCAGCAACAGAGGTTCAGCAGCCTGGGACAACAACAGCAGCAGCGTTTCAGTGGTCAGCAGAGAACCCAGTTTAACGAGCAGTCCCAACAGCAGTACAGCCAACGTCAACAACAATACAACAGCGAGCAACAACAACGGTACAACAACAACGAACAACAACAACGGTACAACAACAACGAACAACAACAGTACAAAAACCAACAAGAACGACGGTATGTAGCCCAGAATCAACAGTTCAACAGTCAACAACAACAACACGCTGGGGCACAACTGTTCAACGCCCGCCAACAGCAACAACGTCAACAGTACACGACCCAACAACAGCAGGAGCAGGTCGGCGGCGTCCAGCGAACACAGTACAACATTCAGCAGCAGCAACAACCGCTGACTAACCAACAACTCCAGCAGCTCCATTTCGGGAACCAGCAACAGGTCAGCAGCCAGCAGCAAACACAGTACAGCACCCCGCAACAGCAGCAACTCAAAGCCAGGGAACAGCAACAACAATACAGCCGCAGGCAGCAGGCACAGTACGGCATCCAGCAACAGCAGGAGAGACAGGAACAGCAGCAGATCACTGGGCGCCTCGGGACCACCTCCTTCAGCAGCAACACTCAGGCCAACCAATTACAGCCCGGCAGCGTCGTTGTCACACCCTTGACCAACACACAGTACCAGGCGTCACAAGACCAGCTGAGGAATCAGGCCGAGTATGCAGTGCTACCCATCGTTCTTCGTCGTGTCAGGAAGGCGGATTAAAACTTCCCCCTCTCGTCCTTGACTAGATGCTGAAGAAGTGAACACGGGATGGAAGGAACCTAAAGGCGGGAGTCATCATCGCGCGTTCACCAGCGATGCATCACTACTGTAACTTTCCACTTCAGTCTCTTACCTGTGTGAGAGGGGGAAAGTAGCACCTGGTGATACGCTTCGACTGATCATAACCCGCCAGGTAGTTGGTTTAGAGACATGTAATGCAAGAGATGAAAAACAATAAAAATAACGTTGTATGAACCAAACTTTCATTTATTAGCTCTTGGTCTCCACATATTATCCCTGAACCTTGAACACAGCAGCAATATTTTAGCTCTATAAACCTTTGGCTGCAGGAGGTTCCCCTAAGCTGAATAAAATCGTTTGATGATGGCCAGAATAAAATGATAAAGTGTGAAGCGGGTAGTGAAAGGATTAAGAACGATGGTTTAAACTATTATCCTCAGCGAGTTAAGCCATCGTGATGAAAGCCTTATTGTTAAAGTATCATACAATTTAACGATCGTCTATAATGAAAATATTAGATTTCAGTGTATAACTTTAAGTCCATACATAATTAATAAATGTATCCTCAAAACATGAATACAGAATTGACGTCTCCTTCACTGCATCAGACAATTGTGTTCAGCAAAGAGCCCCTGTACTCAGTCAAGGGTGATGACCTAATGGTTTAGTCACGTTCCCCACATCAGGAGGACCACATTATTCCTGTGTATATATTGTATGAAGGTCCTGTTTATATTAACGTGATGATATAATATAGGCTCCTCATTCATCTCCTGATTTATCACTATAGAAATGCGTATGTAGATAGATCGTCCAATGCGTATTTTGAGGTTATTTTTGTAACTAACTCTGGTTAAGAGTGATAATATAGATATATTTTGATAAATTGTCATATACTGTATTCAATAAAATCGCATTACAAATTTACAATTGGTTCAGCATGTATATAGACGATGCTGTTATACAGTTCAGTAGGCATAAAGACAACGCACGTGTGTAGTGTACATAGACCGCGCTGGTATATAATTCCCAATTAAATGGAAATCAAAAGTAATTAGCATTATTTACACATCACTTACAAAACTAGTAACGAGGTGTGTAAATAATAATGCATGCGCCTCCTTAGCTCAGTGGTAGAGCACTGGTCTCGTAAACCAGGGGTCGTGAGTTCAAACCTCACAGGGGGCACGAGTGTAAAGTGAACATATATAGTTTTATTACTAAATATATGTGTTTTAAAGAGGTTTGTATTGTTGATACTTACCTACACGTATTTTTCTTGGGATTTTCGAATTTTGTAAACAAAATCTTCCACGAGAGTTTCGTCGTTCAAACACTATGAGCTCTGAACTAATAGGATTATCACCTGACGAAAATAAGTAGGTGTGTCAAAGTTACCCCAGGCGACTGATTAAGACAAGACGTATGAAAGGAGTTATATAAACAGTCAATTAAGTTAGCGTAGACTACAGAGTGAAAATTAAGGAACTACGATGCATCAAACGTAACCTTCAATTGTATTACTGTATTTACTCAGTCACCAAATAAAAAATACAGGTGATTTTGGCATAAGTACTGCATTAAAAGGTCAGAATAATGTATTCTATTTCCCTTACCTTTGTCATTCTTTTATGAGATTTACACAAAGTTAATATTATACCCTTGGTGCTAATATTTTAAACATTGTAAGAATTACCCCAATCTTTCCAGTATTAACCATCCAGCAAACTTGTTCATTTAGACTAGTGATCTCACTGTTCCTGTATGGTTGGGATTTTTCACATCCTAATACATAATGTTGCAGTGTGTGTTAGTACTAGAGAGAGAGAGAGAGAGAGGAGGGGGAATAACTCGAGGCTTGATTCCTGATTCGACGTTTTATTCGTAGATCCCAGTCACTCAGAACTCCTGATACACACAGCAGGTTGTACCCCCAGCAGTAGAGATTATGCTTGATGAATATATGCTGAATAAAAACACATACTGACATAAGTTATTAGACGTCTGCTGTATATGCTAACTCAATATTAATGTGTACAGTACAGTGCAGCCAGGCCTGATAATAAACTCACACACTTTTTGCTGATCACACACACACCGAGACACACACAGGACCTAAAACAATTCTGTACCCGGCTCCACAGTGATGGGTAGAGTAATAATAACATTCACGCTCAGGTATCTCTAAGAGCCGACCAGACATCATTAGTCGAATAAAAACCAAACTCTCAAAGTATGCAATACAACAGCTTGAGTGGGAGGGGTGATTGTCACGATGATAGGCAAAGATTCAACGGACGCTCCCTAGTAATGAAGTTAACTTAGAGTCTGGCAGTTTTATTGAGGTGGTAACTTGAGTTAGTGACATCTATATAGTAGTGCTGCCATCATTGAAGTGCGTGGTAGTGTTCGTTAAGGGGCTTATGGCTTGCACCTCGAGTACGTCTCTAGTCTCTACAGTACATATTGTTCGGTAATATCACATAGTTACTGTAAGTGAACGAACGAGCCCCCATCGTTGGTGTCCTTAACAGTGTTAGGGTTATGATCATTTCTTTATAATTGGTCGAGATGAATAACATTGCATCGTGACGTAACTCTTTCAAATATGAGTTTTTCCTCAAGATGATGTGAAAAGATTTACACGAAACCATTGAATAACAACCTTGATAATAATCGTGTCTATCGGCTGAGTTTGATAAGAATAACCTTATAAGTTCACAAGATTAGGCTGACAGAGAACTATCCATCAATATTGTACTTTTATCTTGTAATCTTGCCTTGTAAATAGGATGTGTTCATTACTATTTATCCCTGTAAAAAATATTGGATTGTTATTTTTGTTTCCACCTCTTTTACTTTTATCCTCTTCGCCACTGATCGGCCACGTCTCTGTTGGCAAGTCCTGGGCATGAACCGGCTCCTGAATGTACCTGAACCTGTGACAGTTAGTTAATTTAATATTTAATATGTGCGTATAAGAATAACTAATACAACAATTTATATATTATAGTCTATAGAATTATAGATAATAGTTTTGCGTAGAATTAAGTGATAGGTTCATTTAAATATTGATTGCACTTAAAGGTACTCAACGCTGATGTTAATTAAAGTTTCACGAACAGAATACCAAACCATTATACTTTATACCTTTAAAATATAACACGATATTGAACATAACCTACCATTTTAGACTCCAAATAATTTATAGCAGACCAAAATATAATTACATGATTTAAATATGCTATATTCTCTAAAAATAAATTAGCTTTTTAAATTATACGTGGTAAATATTTAACAACATGAGTTTGAGCAGCTGATAAACAATAACACGGGTACAGGGGTTGGGGAAGGTGCCTCAGTCACTGCTGGGCACTACAACCATCTGACTCTGTCTCCATGACCCACCTTCTAAACTCAGTCAAAATGGCATCAAGACGTGTATTTGTGGTTGGCGTTGGCATGACAAAGGTTAGTGATATAAATTATTTACGTATAATTAAGAGATAGTTGATTATATACAGTATATTTTGTAGTGTACTAGAGGTTAGTACCTGTATACTATATCAGTTGTCATGGTGAAGTTGGCTTTTTTTATTGTAGATTTCTAGAATACAGATTAAAGTACCGTACAGTGCCGGAATAGGTCTTGGTGAATGATAAAACAACCTGAGATATGACTATGTGTAATACTTTAGAACACCCACTATAAGAAGGAACCATTTTAGGGAGATTTTCCGAAGAAAACTTGTGCCATACCTCATGAAGATAGGTGAGGTGAAGGGCAGTCAAGTTAAGTAAGTTGGGGTTAATATTGACGACTGACCCATCAGTGAGTTATTTCTTTTACTGTTTATTTTATTTCTTTATTTTCATCAGTGAGTTCTGATATGATAATCATTTCTTGTACAAATGCTTTGTTTGGGAGATAATTAAGCGCCTAGGCTCTCACTATCAGTCTTCTTGGCGGCAAGGCGGTGATGACATCTCATCCCAGGATGTAAACGGCCAACCATATTGAAGTATTTCAAAACACTTCTCCGCCCAGGCTTAATCAATGCCAATGCTCGGTGTCTGTTTGAGAACTGTTTGGTATGGACGGCTGCTCTCACGTCCGCTAAAAAAGTAAAATTACACCATATCATAGTAAGTTCTTTCTGTTTAATATGCCGGGGGGTCTGGGGGCAGGTTAGGTAGGTAGGTTTGTTTGGTTAGGCTGATGAGGTCTTCTAACAACACTTCTGCTTGTTTTTCATGTCAACTAAAATTAAGGTTTAATTTAGAAATAACCACTATAAAACACAGTGACATTGCTGCATTTTTATAATCGTTTTCTTTGAAAAATTGGCTGCGGGCAGTTGTCAATAATTACCTAAGTTGAGTTAGGTAGGTGACGTTAGGTAGGACATATTACGTAGATCAGGTTAGCTTATCTTATCAACAATAAATCATTTACATCGCTGCGGAGGAAAAATCTATATTGTTTTGGTATGGAATGAAACCGAGACAAACATCGCATAACTATTAAAGCAGACATTTATGTAATTCTTGTTTACTTTTGGCATATTACTATTTGTATCGATGAATATACTATATAAATGTATAAGCAATTGCCAATTGTGTTTTGTCTATTTAATGGAAACATTAATTTCTATAAGCATTTGTCTCTTGTCGCACATAGAAATGAGTAATGGCAGCTTCAATAATACTGTAGCTCCCCACATTATAGAAACTGTGTTGAGGATTAAAACAAGGAAGAACCAAACATAGGAAAGTTGCGATTCCACCATCCTGTACTTTATATTCTTGAAGAAACAAGTGTATTTTTTCCTAAAGTTGATCCATTTCATTAGTCAGCTTCTAGACAAATACCTTCAGTTTTTAACCATTGATTATTTTCCAGTTTGAGAAGCCTGGTCGACGAGAAGACTTTGGTTACCCGGCCATGGCAAAAGAAGCCGTTGAGAAGGCCCTCAAAGATGCCAAAGTCACTTACAACCAGATAGAACATGCATGTGTTGGATATGTCTACGGTACGCTGGGTTATTTTGAATATTTCTTTAGTATTTTATGGGCTATAGAGACACCAGTACACCTGTGACAGAGACTACTGGCAAGCATCATCTGGGTAGAGCTTGCTAGTACCCAGTGTTTGATAGCTAGGTACACTATACAGACTCTGCTTAGCTGTAATTAATATTATATACAATATTTGTCACCTACTGAGTCTGACTTTGGATATAGAAAATGCTGTTGTTAATTCGGAGACCACGGAGAAGTCAGGTTTGTCAGACTGTCAGCACTACTGTCAGCACTTCAAGACTCATCTCTCAGTTCCATTTTGTTTGCCAGACTGTCAACACTTACAGCTTAATCCCTATGGACAGGCTTTAAGGGAGAGTTGTTTTTCTTAACTTGTGTTGATCTTTGACTCTTATTTATTACTGTATATAGTCATTACTAATACCTGTACTACATAGAGTTTGTTTAATAATTGGTTTAACAAGATAAATGTTCTTTGGACTTGCTTATCATAGAGTTGCCCAGCATTATTAAGTTTTATACACAGACTTCCCATGAATTTCAAAAAGGTTATTTTTTTAAAACTTATCTTTCCATTGATGTTCATCGTATAATTTGTGATGTGTTTTTAAGGACAAAATTCCTTAAAACATGCTAAAATAACTCCTGCGACTCTTTTTAAGTATTGTACTGTAATTTATTCATAGAATTAAAAGTATTAATTTTTTATAGTTTATGAATTATATTGTAGCCAACACAGCTTTGTTAAATGCATCTGTCCAACTTGTAGCTAAGAGTTACTACGTACATATATTTTACCTGCACTCGGCATAATTGGACTTGTTAAGATGTATAATTATATGCACTAGAATGATATTGTCACTCTTGAATATGTATAGTTAGACGTAGTAGAGTGAAGTATTGTCATTAGTTACATACTATACCATACTTTGAAATTTTAGGAGATTCCACCTGTGGCCAGCGAGCCTTATATGAAGTGGGCATGACAGGTATACCGGTGTACAACGTGAACAACAACTGTTCCACGGGGTCAACGGCACTCTTCATGGCTCGTAATATTATCATGGGAGGACAGGCTGAGTGTGTGCTGGCTCTTGGCTTTGAGAAAATGGAGCATGGTTCTCTCACAAATAAAGTTGGTATTAAATGTTTTTATTAATACAGTGTAGAATAGTAACATATTTGTGAAGCTCTTGTTGTTTACTCACCAAGAACTGATATATTTCCCAGTACAGTATTATAATTGTGAAACTCATAATGATTACTCACTAACAACTAATCTATTTCCACAGTATCATGATCGGGAAAATCCAATAGAGAAGCACGTATATGCCCTGGCGAATGTGGCCGAATTAGATTCAGCTCCCATGTCTGCACAGCTGTTTGGGAATGCTGGCCTTGAGCACATGAAGAAATATGGCACTTCACAGTTACACCTGGCCAAGATAGCTCACAAGAACCATCTACATTCCACCAATAACCCGTAATTGAATCTTAAGAGTTACTGAAGAATATAAAGTACTGTAATTCTGTTAAGGTTTTGTTATCATGGATGTTTAAAGGATCGTTCATTTGAGTTTAGGCATGTTGGGGAAAACATTCATTGAGTTTAGGCATGTTGGGGAAAACATTCATCATGTGCAGAAAATATTTCATATAGCATTACTGAACATTGTCATTGAATTTTTATCTGTACTACTGTAAAAGGATTTTCTACTGTATCTAAGCGAGTCTGATATTTCTATTAAGTTTTACAAAATAGAAAAACAACAGAGACCAATGTTCTATCTCTCTAAACACATGGGAAGAGAGGTAAGGTATATTGCATAATTTTGAACTCTGGGTAAATTTCTAAATCTGGTATTAAGGCTTTCATATCTAAAAGTGTATACCGTACTGGTACATAAAAGCTACACTGTTACATCCAAGAATCTTTGTGTTGTGTGACTTTATGATAAATTGTAATGCATCTTAATTTTTTCCCTTATAGGTGCACACTGAGACCTTCCATGAGACATATTACAGTATTTTCATTTGCCAGTCCTATTATACAGTATTTGATAAACAACTCATACATTACTTTATTTAAAATTATCTTCACCACTGATTGGTATGTCGGCCATTTGGACGGTCGATCACTTCTCTGTTACGCACTTATAGTAGTCTCCCACATGTGCTCTGTGTACTATCTATAATATTTTTGTGGTAATGTCTTAAAATTGGTCAGATTGTATTATATTATTCATGTTTCATCAGATACTCACAGTTCCAAGATGAATACACCATCGAGCAGATTTTGAATTCACCTAAAGTGTCGGGGCCGCTGACCAAGCTACAGTGTTGTCCCACATCTGACGGTTCTGGAGCAGCTGTGTTGGCTTCTGAGGAGTTTGTAATTGCTCATAACCTACAAGATCAGGCAGTAGAAATCCTTGCAATGGAGATGACAACAGATTTACCTTCCACTTTTGAGGAGGAGAGTCCTATGAAGATTGTAAGTAACTTGAGGTTATGTTTATTCATTAACTCCTTCACTATGGGGATGCCACTCTTGATGTTATATTTGACTCACACCAGAAGGTTTTTATTCAGCACAGAGGGAATCCTGTACACAAGGGGTTAATGATGAATTATTGAATATTTTATTGTGAGAGTTTTAGTGGATAGCTTATCATATGAACAGAACTCTCCTTTAGTTCCTCACTTAAGATCTTACTGCACAAACATAAAATGACTGAAACACCTGTTAGATATTATATAAACCAATGGCATAGTATCCAGAGTGTTCAGAGGATCCCAATAAAAACTGCAGCAACATCTCATTAGGGTAACAAGAGTACATGAATAAAGTATCAGAAAGTCTTAAATTAAATCAATTGAGGTTTATGCCATTTTTTTTTTTACTTTTTATGTCATGATATGTTCACAAATTTTATAAGATGTGTTTAAAGCTGAGACAAAATTGTTCTGAAATTTTCTTGCTTTTTCAGGTAGGATATGATATGACAAAGTTGGCAACCCAGAGAGTGTTCAAGAAGACTGGCTACGCTCCTGCTGATGTTGATGTGGTGGAGCTTCATGATTGCTTCTCAGCCAATGAACTTATTACTTATGAAGCTCTTGGTAAGTGAGATTTTGTTGCTAGGTTGGTTGATATATACAGTAACTAGTTTTTGTCAAGGAATCTCCGTATGATTATTTCTTTATGGCTTTGAGGAAGGAGCTATGACTTATTACTAGCACACAAGTCATTCCAATCTAACCTAACCTCATCCCAAGACTATACGGTATAGCAGTTTTTTGTGTAACAGCTTTCAGTACATAAAGAGATTAATAACAGAATAGATATTAACGTTTTTGATTACCTCTGCATTTAAAAAACAATAAAAGACATCTTAATTATCTCAGGTCCTATATATTTACAGTATTCTCATTGATGACGTGTTTACTCTGCAGGTCTGTGTGGGGAGGGAGAAGCTGGTGAGTTCATTGATTCGGGTAACAATACTTATGGTGGGAAACACGTCGTCAACCCCTCTGGTGGACTCATCTCCAAGGGTCATCCTCTTGGTGCTACAGGTGAGCTACATAAATTGTCTCCTTGTTTATGTCTTTATAGAGTTCGGTGAGAGACAGTTTGTCAGATGCTGCCAAACAGACAAATCATTTTGGCAGAACTTTGGGTACAATAAAATCATCTTTCACTACATTAACTTACAAATTCTCAATAAGTTTTACTTTTTCTAATCTGGAATTTGACAGAAATGGAATAAGTGATTTTATTTACACTAGATATGATATAAAAATTAAATTAACAAATTGTTCTTCAGTATTTCTTACATTTTGGTTCAGACTTGGAATATGTATATACACTGGCAGCCCTAGTAGATCATTCTCCATATGTTAAATTCCCATTTGATGTCAGTAGTGTTTGTTGTTCACTTTCCTCAGTTTTATGTTCAAAAGGTTGTCTGTAATAATGGTAAAATGTACAGAAACATTATCTAAAATTTACAGGGCTTATGTAACTCTTTCAGGGGTCATTAATTTACACCCATCATCATTAGAGCCAAATTATCAAAGCTCCTGATAGTGTGTTACCCCAGGTGTTAAGAAAGTTGTCCCTTAAAATCCTTTTCTGCAGAAGTATGAATGAACAAAAGATCCCCAGTGAGTGAAAAAGCATGTGAGTTCTATATTCAAACAGGGAGATTATCACTGCATGAACAACTACAGGTTGGTGAGTTTGACCAAGAAACTGTGTAAAGTGCCCGTGGGAACAAAACCGAACCAGTTTTGAGGATTTTAACAGTTTTCTGGGTCATAGGTCATTCATGACACCTTAGGTCTACCAGTAGACTCAAGTTTTGTTTCCGCACACTTACACAAACTTAGTTGAATGTTTGTTTTACCGGTACTTCTTAAACAACAAAATAAAGGAAATACAGTCTACTATATACAGTAAATTATTAATTACCACAACGTATGTAATTAATTCATACTTTTTTGTCATTATTACTGTGCACCCACGAAAAAATTATTCGGCACCCTTGTCATATCGTATCACGCCGTAAGGATGCCGAATAATTTGTTTAGTTGGTGTACAGTACAGTATAGACCTGCCAGAGAGGCCATCTCGATGTGTGCCAATAAGTTTTACACCCAATAAAAAATTATTCGGCACCCTTGAGGCATGATACAATATGACACGGGTGCCGAATAATTTTTTTAGTTGGTGTACATGCTTATTATTATAATGTCTCAGGTTTAGTAAAATTACCTGTACTGTAGTTGTAAATACAGCTACTCCTCGACTTACGACATACTTGACCTACAACCACCCGCACATACGACCACCGCAGTCGGTACCAAACATTTTTCAAATGACGCACGTATTTTCTAGACTGAAACGTTTCTGTCCCGTATGAGAGCGTCGCGTGGGCTAGGTTGCCTCGTGGCTACAGCATCCACGCTGTAGAGCGCTTAGTTGGTGTTTGGCTGTCGTTGTTGTAGATAGTGATCGCGCTGTGCACTGACAATATTTTCGTTTCTAATTCACTTTAGAATGACTGGCAAGCATAGAAGTGAGAGTGCTGGTGGTGCTCAGAAGAAAAGGAGACAGTCAATTACTTTTGAGATGAAAATGAAGATAATAATGCAATATGAAAATGGAAAAATGGGAGCAACCATTTCATGCGACCTAGGCTTCTCACACTCGACCATATCGACAATTTTGAAGGACAAGGAACGTATTCGTGAGGTAGTGAAAGGATCAGCTCCTATAAAGGGAACAATAATAACGAAGAAAAGACAAGGTCCTATTCATGAGATGGAAAAATTACTTGTGATATGGATGGAAGATCAGATACAAAAGTGTGTACCCTTAAAGCCTTCTAACCCTACAAGCTAAGGCAAGAAGCCTTTTCGAAAGCCTGAAGGAGCAGGCAAGAGATGAGTGCGACCAAAACTTCACAGCAAGTCATGGGTGGCTCCAAAGGCTTAAGCACCGCTACAGTTTGCATAGTGTAAAGGTGAGCGGAGAGGCAGCAAGTGCTGATGTGGGTGCGCTTTTAAGGAGGAGATAGATCGTGTCATCATGGAGGGAAATTATTTGCCTGAACAAATATTTAATGTGGATAAAACTGGCTTATTATGGAAATGCATGCCAGAACGGATATACATCCACAAAGGGGCGAAAACAATGCCGGGATTCAAGGCATTCAAGGACCGAATCACACTTCTGTTGGTGGGGTATGTAGCTGGTTTCAAGATAAAGCCCTTCATGATATATCATTCAGAGAACCCAAGGGCTTTTAAACATGTCAGCAAGCACACACTGCCAGTGTTTTATCACAGTAATAAGAAAGCATGGTTGACCCTAGTACTGTTTGAGGATTGGTTCCTGACTTGTTTCATTCCTCGAGCCAAGGAGTATTGTCTGCAACAAGGGATTGCATTCAAGATTTTGTTAATTTTGGATAATGCTCTGTGACACCCACCACATCTGGACGACCTGCACTCTGATGTTAAGGTAGTCTACATTCCACCTAACACTACCTCTATCATCCACCCCATGGATCAAGGTGCTATTGCTGCTTTTAAGGCGAATTATTTACGTGCGACCTTCGCTCAGGCTGTTGCTGCTACTGAAGGTGAGAAAATGCTCAGAGAGTTTTGGAAGGACTACAACATTATGAAATGTATAAAGAACATAGCTGCAGCATGGGATGAGGTTACAGGTCAGTACTTGAATGGAATATGGAAGAAAGTCCTGAAAAGATTTGTGAACAGTTTCAGAGGATTTAATGAAGATGAAGTAATTTCTGCAATTAGTAATAAGATAGTGGAGTTGGGTAAACAGCTTGAGTTAGAAATTGATAATGAAGATGTTGAGCAGTTGGTTGAAAGTGTAGCAGAAGAGCTAAGTAACGAGGATTTTATTGAACCGGATGCACAGAAAATTGCAGAGGAAGAAGAGAGTCAAAATGTAGAAGAAGAACCTGCACCTCCCAAAAATTTTTCAGTGAAACAAATGGCAGAGGCATTTACTACAATTAATAAGGGGATGCAAATGTTTGACGGAATGGATCAAAATGTTGAGCGTTTTGCAAAAGTTGACAGAATGTTCCAAGATGCACTTGCTTGCTACAGGGAGATTTACAATGAAAAGAAAAGGCAAACTTTGCAGTCTAAATTGGACATATATTTTAAGAAGTCCCCCATTACTGTCTCCTCACGCCCCACCAGTGCTGCCTCTTCACTCCCTAAAGGTGATCCAATACCTTCAACAAGCAAGTTTCCCCTGTATGTTAACCTATCTGAAGAAAGCGACATTGATGACCCACCCAGCCCTGTCTCCTCCTCTGCTTCATCCAGCTAATGTAGTCTCCATGTATATAATTAAAAAATTATGGGGGTCCCGTGTGCATTCAGCTGACTACATAAAAGGTAAGTGCACAGTAACACTGTATTCATTATTCATTACTTTTACTGTACTGTATTTCATTTTAGATTTCTATGTATTATTTTTTGCATTTTTGACTTTCAACCAATTCGACTTACGACCTGGATTTGGGTCCCTAACCCTGTCGTAAGTCGAGGAGCAGCTGTATATGGATATGCTTGCTCACTGATGTGGGGTGGTGGTTGTAGGTAGTCAGTCGACAAACAGTCATCAGATGGAGATTATGCACACACCTTTCAATTGTATTTTTTACTGCATTGTATTTCATTTATATTAGTATAATAATATCTCCAGTAGCTGAAATCCCTCTTACCGGTAACCGGAACTCTTCGATAGCCGGAATTTAAATTTTCTCAGAAAATCTTTCCCAAAGCTGTAATTTTACGGAAAATTCCGGCTATGGGAACAAATTTCTGAGGGGCACATTTTCTGGAAAATTATGAGAAAATTTTTCTGGTACCCGGAAAACTCTAGGGATGGGGTATTTTTTCTGGGGTTGAGAGATGAAAATTAATCACGTTTTCCTGAAAATTTTGGGGATGGGGGATTTCTTTCCGGGGTTTGAGAGATGATGTAATGAGCAAATTCTGGAACTAATGAGAAAATTATCCCGGTACCCAAAAAATTCCGGGGATGAGGGATTTTTTTCGACTTTGAGAGAATCATCTCGTTACCCGAAAGTCTCTAATTCCCGGAAGTGCTCAGCACCAATTGTTCCAGTCATTGGTGATATCACTGCATTTCACTTTATTTTTAAATAAATTTAAGTACCTTGTATCTGCGAAAGCAACACAAAAGTGTTTGGTAAAAGTAGTTCCTCTTTTAGTATCCGTTACAAAGTTATACTGAAAGGCTGTTTGTCATGTCTGGCACATGTTTGACATGTTCCCTTTATTATTGTTTATCTTCTCTGGCACATGATTAACATTGTTTTGTTTCATAAGACCCCATACTCTAAAAAATCATTATACCATCAGATATTGCATGTACAATAGCTCCTATAAATATGTGAGGATTAAGGTGCGTCCACACGTGCGTACATTTTGTCGCCACTGTGTGATCGATGAGAAGAAATGAGGCACAGGGTTCCGACTCTGGTAGGGTGTGGCCACTAGATTGGTGTTTCCTCTTGTTGATCACATGTTAGTGACAAAATGTGCACACAGCACCTTAAGAAGGTCTTGTGTGACATCTGGTACCAGACAATCTATTGTGAGTCTGTCCCCTTGAGACACAGCTGCCACAATTTTTAGATATGTATGTGCAAGCTTGCCAGTTTTTAACCAACCAGTATGTCAGCACAACACTTATTTCTTATCACAGGGTGGCTGTAATCAGCTGGGTATGTAGTTTAGTCTGGTAAACAGTTAAAGTTCTGTTAGCATTTGGTAGCCCATGACACAAGAAAAATAGATCAGCAGTTGGATCCCATAAGATAGAATAATGACTAAGTAAAATTAATGGATAAAAACAAAACATTTGGAGGTGTTCAGTGTGTAGACATGGTCCTAAATAGAGGAAGCATAAGGGAGAGGCATTTATCAAGTACTGTAGTAAACAGATAAAGATGATACAGTAGCAGATGGTTCTCTGCTCTCCTCATAAATACTTCCAT